GTCTCTTTCCAATCTGAAAGTTCAATGGCACAAACACAATTTGGGGTCTGTTATCTATTTCATATGTCTTTCATATTTTCATATGGCTGTAATTTCTCTACCCTACTATACTGCAAATATTTTAAGCCATACAGATTCTCCTATGCTTCCTTATATCTTGTATAATCAACTATTACCTAAAATAAAACCCCAACAGAAAAGAAACTCAGTGAATCCTCATATTCTGAGTGACTATTAGAAATAATAAACACAGGCTGGGCATGGTGGCTCACGCGTGTAATCTGAGCACTCTGGGAGGCCGAGGCAAGTGGATTGCCTGAGCTTGCAGCTTCGAGACTAGCCTGAGCCAAAGTGAGACCTCATCTCTAGCAGGTTGTGGTGGGCACCTCTTGTCCTAGCTACTTGGGAGACTGAGGCAAGAGGATCACTTGAGCCTAAGAATTTGAGGTTGCTGTGAGCTATGATGCCACAACACTCTACTGAGGGAGACAAAGTGAGACTCTGTCTCAAAAATAAATAAATAAATAAATAAATAAAGGTTGGGTGAGGTAGCTCATACCAAGTTTGAGACCAGCCTGAGCAAAAGCGAGACACCACCGCTACTAAAAATAGAAAAACTGTGGCAAGAGGATTGCTTAAGCTCAAGATGGATGTTGCTGTGAGATATGACGCCATGGCACTTTACCCAAGGCGACAGCTTGAAATTGTCTCCAAAAAAAAAAAAAAAGAAAGAAAGAAATAATAAATGCATCAGTCCACTCCCCACGCCCTTCCTCTTTCAGTTTCTGCACTTGCAGTTCATGCCTCCCTATCTATGAGAGTTCTTAATATGGTGTGCCTGGAGTTCCTTAAAGAAAATATACTACACCAACTTTTTCTCTCTATTCATACTTCCTGACCCCAAATTCAACATAAAGGAAGTTATACATATCTATGGCCAGCCACAGTGGCTCAAGCCTATAACCCTAGCACTTTGGGAGGCCAAAGTGAAGGGATCACTTGAGGCTAGGAGTTCAAGACCAACCTTGACAACATAGAAAGAATTAGTCTCTACAGAAAAAAAAAATTTTTTTTAAAAGAAAGAAAATAAAGGAGGAGAAGAACAAGCAATAGAAGGTTATATAACCTAATAGTGCAGAAACTCAAGGAATAACTAAATTAAATTATAATCTTAACAATCTGCGTGGTCTTTCTTCTAAAACATGGAAACTGTTATTTTATACATGAACTTAGCTGAAGTCATATGAATTTTTACCTTTTGGCCAAGAAAAACTGACAACAAAGCCACAGCAAATGAAATTTCTACTGTGTAAAGTAGCATAGCACATGAGTGATTAGCATTGCTAATTTCTGCTAGAAACAGTAGATTCAAAAAATACTATTGAAATAATTGTTACTTAGGCTCGGCACCCATAGCACAGTGGTTACGGGCGCCAGCCACATAAACCCAGGGTGGAAGGTTTGAACCCAACTCTGGCCAGCTAAACAACAATGACAACTGCAACAAAAAATAGCCAGGCATTGTGGTGGGCACCTGTAGTCCCAGCTACCTGGAAGGCTGAAGAAGGAAAATCGCTTGAGCCCAAGAGTTGGAAGTTGCTGTGAGCTATGATGCTACAGCACTCTACCAAGGGGGACACAGTGAGACTCTGTCCCCCAAAAACCCAAAAAACAAAAAACAAAATGTTACTTATATAAACTGGTCTGTTTACTACCTAGATTTTGTCTTGGTAGGGTTAAATTATTTGCAACAGTAACACAAGGAACTCCACAAATGGAGATAAACCTTGGGCACATATATCTGTTTTAAGAAAATCATATAATTATTAATAATGCAATATAAAAAGCATTTACAGAGCACCTAAGGCCAGATAAAAGCAGAAGACTCCAGGTCCTCCTGATCATCACTCTGAATAGTCTAATTTGAAGAAAGAGATGAAGTACAGGAGAATCGTTTTGGTAATCCCTCTGAAACAACCTTTCTGGTTTTCTCAATTTTAGGAAATGACAGAATTAAACTATTTAAGCAATGTAAATTATTTGAATAATGGTATGAATAATAATCTACTGGGCCAGCTAGACTTTAGAACAGAGATTCTACACATTAGAAATGCAGACTCTGTTATGACAATGAACAATCTACAAATTCTCTCATCTAGAGTTCTAGGCAAGCAAATTCTATTACTATTTGTACACTTTAACAAGAACATAAAGGCATAAAATCTGCCTTGCTAATATTATTAGTCATATCACATTTAAAATTCTACATACAACAGTAAATGAAATTTAGCAACTCATAAAACCTGGGTAGGTCAGAAAAGGGGAAAAAATTCAATTGACAATATGTATTTCATTAAGTTAAAAAATATTTGGTATTAACCTGGATGAAACTGGAACTGGAACACATTATTCTTA